TCCTTATTGTCCTTTTGTGCGGGGCTTTTCAGTATGCAAATTGCAGCACGGTTGCACGGCGGCACCAGGGCTGTAACTAATTAGGTTGTATCCAGATTCCAGACGTCTCGGCCTGTCTCGAGCGGCTATATTAAATTAACCTAAACGCGGCCTGGTCGCAAATTTGAATCTCGAATCAAATTACGCTTACAATACTTTAATGACATAAGATTTATTTATCTTATTTTTTATATACTTTATTTAATATTTATCATTCTTAATTATTTCTTATATTTACGCGAACACTACACGTTTAAATGAGGATCATTTAAAAGTTATTTTAAATTCCCTACGTTTTGAGTCTTTCGAGTGAGTAAAGTATCGAGTGACGTATTCGAGAGTGAGATTTTGTATAGTACACGAAACCGTAAATCCGTAAAACTTAGTTTCATTTATTATTCTTCTTTGTCAGCCTGTAAAAGTGTACTTCTGTGTAAGGATTTCTCCTGTAGGACTTGCTCCCGTTGCAGTGAGAATTTGCATTAATTGTTATAATATGCTTAGCGTGCGGATTGCCAATCTAAACCAGACGCCTCGCATTTATGACGGTGCTCCCCGTTAAAAGTACAGTCTGGATATTTTATATTTTAGGAAGACGGTGTTAATTTTAAAATTTCTTATTATCATAAATATATATGAAAAATTTTTTGGCGGCTTGAGTTGCATTTTCTTTTTTTTTTTTTTTTTTGTAATAAAACTTCAGAACGTATCGAATTTTTTCGTTAGATTCATTCATTTTGGCGAAAAAAAAAACATTGAAAAATGACGGAAAACTGTTTTTTACTTTTTATTTTTCTTAATGTCCTATATGTATTGATATTAAAACCAGTCAGATACAAACTAGTACAATCAAAGAAATTTTTCTTCAATTTTATATAAAAAATACGAAGAAACATTTTAACCGACCAATTAATTTTAATTTCTTAATATTTTATACATTAATATTACCATCACTTCTTACGACTGCCTATCGTTGACCATAGCCTGTTATACTTGATTAAAAATTAATTTGGTATTTGTGGAGGGTGGCCAACCATACTTTATAATAACGTATCCTACGTTATTTTGCTTCACTAAAAGTACTTTACGGTTTTGAGTAAATGGAATGGTGCAGAATATTCCTGGTGAAATTTCCTCAGGTACATAATTTCCGAACGAATTATAAGTCACGTGCACAAATTAAATTAATGAAGCTCATTGTTTTATAGCAATCTAAATTTATTGTTTGGAAACCTATAAAATATAATTTATGAAACGTGACCTCGTGAACGAATAGTGGATGCGTTGATGAGCTTTGTGATTGCATGCAGCTATGTAATATGAACTGAGCCGCTATGAAACATGTTATTATTTGGAGGCCTATTTTCAGCCGTAAATAACAGTCTCTTTCATAATACAGGACATGCTCTTTAAAACCTATTTATAACGCATTAACTTATGGATAACGATATAGTAATAGAACCAAATAAAGTCAAAATGTGTCGAAAAAGGCACGTATGGCAATTCACAATGCTGTGTTGATCCCTACTTTAACATATGGTAGTGAAAGTTGGGTGTGGCAGAAGAAGCACGAGAGTAAAATGAACGCAGTAGAAATGCGGTCGTTAAGGAGTATGTTAGGGCTGAATCTGAATGACAGGGTGAGAAATTGTGTGATAAGAGAAGAGTGTGGTTTGCAAGATGATGTTGTGACCAGGATTAAGAAAGGAATGCTTCGGTGGTTTGGTCATGTCGAAAGAATGAATGAGGAAAGAGTGACAAAGAAAATTTATGTTGCAGAAGTGAATGGCAGTGTTGGAAAGGGACGTCCTAGGCGAAAATTTATCGACCAAATTGGCGATTTATTGAAAACGGGCCAAATTAGGAGTACCCTTAACCGACGAGCATGTATGCGCAGGTATATGGATGTGAAGGAGGCGAGAGAGGTGTGTCAGGATCGTGCCAAATCGAAGTCTGTAGTCTCTGCCTACCCCTCTGGGTGACAGGCGTGAGTGTTTATGTATGTAATAGAACCGTAACCTGTAGTGTAACGGCCTTATTACAAAACGTGGTTTATTGATAGTATCAGGTTTAAACTATTGTTGAAGACGTGTCTCTCTTACTAAAGAACTCCACTATTCAGTACGCCACAGCCTTTGAAAAATTTGACATTTGCTGTCAAATTCCATACATTACATCCTTAGTTCGCATATTTCCATGGGACTTTTTTCGTGAAAAGATTCTTGTTTAAACTTGAGATTACTTATAAACTACTTTTTGTTAACAAGGCGGAAAAGTTTTGATTAAAAACCAGAAAATAGGTATATTTTTGTCCTTTAAATATTTTGATGTACCTAACCTGTTTCATTATTTTATTATAGTGTTGGCTTTCTTTTTAGCTAACTACACATATTTTACTCAGTAGTTTAGTAGCGAAGTGAGACTACACTCTTTTTTTCTTAAAATACAATTTACATGGCTGGTTAGAAAAATCTATTAAAATTATAGAGATAATACTTTAAAGAATTTTTAAGTACTATTTCTATCATTTTCCCTATTTTTCCTCACGGTAAACGGTCACGAGAAAGAAGTAAGAAGCTGTGGTTGTTACATATTAAAGTGTAAACATTTACGTTTACGGCCTTTTGAAAGCTATGACGTTAATTTATATTTAGTCTTTATTAGTTTAGTAAATATACTTTGAACCAGCTGATAAATAAAATAACTTTAAAAAATATTTAACCACATTTTTAATTAATTTTCATCGAAACGTAGTTGTAGTGTAGCATACGATGTTACATGTTTCGATGAAACTTTGCATAAAAGCTTCAATAGCCGCGTGATTTTCATTGTGACCTAGGAATCAAGCAAACGTTGTTATTATATATGGTACATACTTGACTCAAGCAAAAATCTAGGTGCTTGTTTCAAGTTGCTTGAACGTTTTGGACCTGTTTTCAGCTGTACAAATTAGCGATAAAAAATTAATGATATTACAAAAGTTCGTCTGTTCCGCTTCTGATTTCCCCTGTTATTTATAATACTGCTTGAGTTATTAAAAGTGTATCAAAGTTTTAATCTAATTAATCTAGACATAACACATAACCCTGTTTTACTTTAAAGATAAGTGCATAGATTTTGACGGCTTCAAATAATGCGTTATCTGCGTGATGGTAAGGTTACATACCTGCGATGCATAGCTGCAATATGTAAAAACCGTTTCTAAGGGTCATCACTCTTGCGTTGACGTTTAACTCTGTACCTTTACTGATAAATTACTCCTTATAATTTTAGATTTAAAAGTACTGAAGTCCAAATTCACTCCTTTTCGTAAGAGTCGACCATCGAAAATGTCAGAAGGAACCAACGGCTTGATAAGATGGCGTTATAACCCTCTTGTATAAAGCCGACGAAAAATAAACAGACTGCAGCATCAAAGGTGTGCGGTGAGACCGCTGGTGCTGCGACAGTCTATCTGCTTACCCAGCGTAACAATTAAGACAAATTATCTCTACATCTGGACAGCAGTGGATTTTAATGTATAATACAGTAATGTTATGTTAGCCTCAGTTATTCCTAAAAAATCACTTTAACAAAAACGTATCTATGGAATTTGGATTACGTCTACAATTAATGTTTCAGCAAAACTCTAGCGGGTCAACCAAATGATAAATTTAAATTAAAGATTCCATTCCAAAGCCCATGTAACAAACTTGATGATGTTCCAATATCTTGTAACTACCCCTACATAACTAAAACTAACACAATAAAATATTTGGGAATTATAATTGACGAAAAGCTTCAGTGGAAACATCAAATAATATCACTTAGTAAAAAAATAAGAAAGCTTGTCTATGTTTTTAAGTTACTAAGGCTTGTAGCAAGTCCAAAGTTATTGTTGCAAACTTACAAGACTCTCTGTGAATCTTTAATATGTTACGATATCTGTTTATGGGGCGAGGCTTGTAAGACAATTCTTGTCGAAGCTGAACGTGTCCAACGATGTATTTTAAAAGTAATGCTATTGCTTCCATTTCGTTATCCAACTACACTAGTGTATGAAAAAGCCCGAGTACTAAGCGTAAGAAAACTTTTTATCTATCAATGCATACGAAAGTATCATCGTATAACTGCACCATGTATCAAAATTGCAAAGAAAAGGACATTCAAATACCCGACCCCCTAGAACAAGAAGTATTTTTGCGAAAAGACACTATAGTTACATTGCCCCGCATTTGTACAATAAGTTATACAAGGAATTTAAATTAAACTTAAATAATTACAGCAACCACCAAATAAAGGCAAGGATCAGAGTGTGGTTAGAGAATCTTTATTATGACAGCACATATATTCCAAAGCACACACACCCACTCACACACTTACACACACACACAACACACGAACACATACACACATGCACACACACACACACACACACACACACACACGCACACACGCACGCACGCACGCACGCACGCGCGCACACACACACACACACACACACACACACACACACACACACACACACACACACACACACACACACACACACACACACACACACAAAACAAGCGCTTAGAATAACATTCTTTTTATTTCTTATTTATATTTTTGTACTTGTTTAACTTACTAAATAACTAAATTATTATTATTATATAGAAATTGACCTTTTGACAAGGCTAACTTTAAGGGGAGGAACTGGTTCCTGAAACACAGTTACACTAGCTCAGGGACCAGGGAATCAAGGAACATATGTAAAAAAGGTTGTTATTAAATAAATAAATAAAATAAAATAAAAAATAAATAAAAATTGCCTTATAATGGAAAGGCATTGAGATAATGATTTATATTTATATGTAAAATTAGTTAAATTTATTATTGATGATGATTAAATGTCCATTAATGGTTGAGTCAAATATTGCAAATCCAACTTATATTAAGGATCCAAATAAAATATTTTTAAAAACTATTTTTCTCGACAGGCCGTATTCACACGGCGATCGTGTCCGGGGTGAACCTGGAGACACGGTCGGTGACTGTGGAGTGGTACGAGCGCGGCGAGACGAAAGGCAAGGAAGTGGAGATCGATGCTATCCTCGCGCTCAACCCAGTGCTCGCCGGTGTGCGGCAACAAAGTCCGCCCTTGCAGTCCATGCCTAACAGGCTGGCCAGGGTAAGCATACAATATACCTCCCGATCAGATGTTCCTGGGACGAGGATTTATAGTGTAAATTAATTTGAATGCAATGTTATTAATTATGATATTTGAGGTAGAGTTTTATGTAATTTTGTGCATACGTGTAAAATGACAAAACAAAAATATTTTAAAATAACATCTAGTTAAAGATTTCTCAGTGTATTTACGTGCCAGAGGTGACGTCAACTTCTTCGCTTGGATTAAGTTAGGTCTAAAATTTCGGGTATAAATTTCATTAACGTCAAGTCATCAGATAGGAGTGCAGCTAGCGCATAGCGCAGTACATGATGAATACATTCAACCCGAGCTTAACGTCAGTTGCATAATTCATGCGATTATAGAGGAGGTAACAAGTAAATCGCTAAGTTTTAATGAAATAATAATCAAGTTATTGCACGACGTCAAGTTATGTAATGAGTTCTTATATTTACGCGAATAATACACGTTAAATGAAACTAATTTAATTTTTTTGTAATCACGTTCTGCGTATATCGGACCAAAATAAATATTCAAAAGTTGAAGGTAGCCGGGTAACTGTGAGATTGGGACGTTAAACACTTGTAAAGCGTCTGAAACGTTCGGAACTAAAAATCTAAAATTAAATGTGATAAAATCTGTACAATTAGTTTCATTTAATGACGTCAAGCCTACCATCTTATAACTAATTATAACATACCATATTTTTAGTATCGTTTTAAGAATGTAAACTGAAAGTTGGAAACATGGCGAATTTCGTTTCACGTTCGCAAGTACGGCCGTTGGTCTATTTCAATCAGGGTCAATGAACACGACGCTCGCGCTTGCTTGCTTGTAGTAAAACAATTTGCCAATTTACGTCCGGACTTGTGCACACGTTTGCTTGCAGCTTCTACCGTTATCGGCACATTCAAACAACTACGATTAAGTTCCCAGTCTATCACAATCACATTGTTAACAGTCGTTGCCTTTCGTTTTAACAATCTGCTTCGATTTAAAAGTAGCTAGATTTTATCGCCCATGGTAACTAATTTTATATTTCCGACGTTTCGAGTCCTTACAACACCCATGGTCACGGAGCCTGTCGGAGGGGGCCTGAGGTGTTCGACGTACCTATGTCTTAGTTAACTACGGTTACCTTAAGTTTAAAATTATTAATTTTTGATCCAATCTAAGCAGAATGAGCTTATGGTATCTTGAATGCTTGCAGTAGTAGCGTTGAGTTGGGCGTGACGTCGAATACCTCGGTCTTCTTGTTTCATTAGTTTGCGACATGGAATTCGTACCCACTAACATGGCAGCTAATTTCGCGTGACCTCGCATCCATTTACCGCAGTTCTCGCCGGCTTTTATTAGAAAATAAAGTGCAATAAATTCTTGCACCCTTTCCTCCACCGACCTGTGCAAAGGTCGGAGTGGTCCGATTTTAAAGCGAAAGCCCGCAGTTGTGATTTGTTACTTCGCAACGTTATACCGTTTAACTGACATATGTACAATAATACAGATACTGTTATAGTAGCCATTATTTCTTCATTGATACGATAAATACGTTAGTGATACCACTCTATGCACTGGATTTAATTAATTTCACGTCAAAATGTAACTGAAGCCATTTTTTATCGATCAGCGTAGGCGGTTGAACCGCGTACCAAGCCGCGATGACTCTCTTTGTTTGGGTCGGGAAGCATGTTGCTAATCGACGCCACAGTTGCACCGACTGATTCGCGAAAGCCGAATGTGTTGCCTGTCTCAGCGTTCTAGTTTTGTTCTCGTACGATGTGAACACGGTGTCATCGAGGATGAGTTTAGGGAAGACTTAGTTTTTGTAAACGTACTAGCTGCTCTGACTCCACGCGACAAATCATCAAGCACGGAAGTTATCCTGTGTAGCGGTTGTGGGGGAAAATGTAGAAATGTTCCCATACATCATCAGTTGGCAGGTGATCATTTGCAGCACTTAGCAACCGTATTTTAGCGAGTAGCGTCCATTATACAAATCGCACCGTTGTCGTAGCAACACATCTCACGCCGATCATAACGCAGCAGGCAAGTAGAAAGTCATTGTGTAAACACGTGACAATTGTCTATTTAGCACTATTCGATTTTTGCGTGTTTTTTCTTCGACATGCCTGGGCGACATAATAGATGGTTGAGGGTCACCTTACAGCGGAACACCGTCTGTCGATTTCCCACATCGAAGCGCGTTTCACCGCCAATCCGTACGTAGCAGTAAGTGTGTCGTTGTTGTCTGATCATGTGCACGTTGTTGGTGGTGTGAAGGAGCCGTCGGGCTCGTCGTCGGACGACGGCGGCTTCCTGCGGGAGGGCGCGGAGGGCGAGGGGGGCGAAGGAGGCGCCGACGCGGGACACACGCTACCCGTGCGCAACTCACGCTCGGTACGCCCGAAGCACGTACCACGTACACTTTCACAGAATAAGTACAGTCGTCCCATTCAGCACAACGCGTAATTTCCTTCGTAAACTAATATATTCAGCATCTAGGTGCTAAAACTTATTTTCAGCCTGGGAGTCCGTCTGACCTATATCTATTATCCGTGGACGGACTAAGATGGAATGCCTCACAACCTTTAATTAAATTGGCTCTCCAGACCGGACGCAAGAACCCAGAAGTGCACGCACTGTTGTTTGTCGGCAGGAATAGGTAAGAGACGGGGGGTGCAATACTTTCGTACCTGTTATTGCCGCGGAGCGGTAGTGCGTATACTGCTATGTTCCGATCTAAAGGCGTATAGAGCCAGTATTATTACAGGCATTCTATTGTAGACCACGGATGACATACTTTGGTTCGCGCTATCAGCTGGACTGTAAGTTCCTTTGCAAATTTAAATCAAATGTCAACGAGATCATGAGTAGTGATTCTTCTATACGTAAGTGTGCGAAATGACGTGCTGTGTTGAATGGATCTTCTGTCTGTGTATGTTCAGCACACTGTGCACTTTTACCATTAAGTTGCTACACACGAACGGCTTGTTATGGTGTCTGTCGGCTTGCGCTCTTGTCGCACCCGCAACTTGCTATACCGCGAGCCGTCGTGCTCGGCTCCGGTGGCGCAACAAGAACGCAATACGATCTTCGTTTCTTTGTTGCGTAGTATATAATAGCAGTCGTACAATTGCACACTTTAATTTTGGCTTGTTATAAACACTTTTATTTTTATTATTTTTAAATCGTATTTTAGTTTGCGAAATGTAAAAACTTAAGTGATAGAGCCACGCTGAAGCTATATTGTGGCTGTAGCATGAAGGGGTCGGTTCGACTGGGAAGGGACTACGCTCTCACTGATTACCGGCTTATAATAGTAGCTCAGTGCTGCTGTGTTTCGGTATGGTGAGTGTAGAGAACCGGAGACCCTTTTTTACTGGAAACGAGCCATTTCATCTAAGACTCCAGGGGTAACAACGCATCTGCATTTTATTTCTTAATTGAGGATAAATGTATATGTATACGAGCCACAGCATCCGCTTACCATCACGTGGACTGTGTGCTCGTTTGTCATCCTTATTCTATAAATAAATAAATAAAAAATAAATCTACTATATATTTAGCCGCCTTGAGTGATATCACTAGGTCTGTGTGTGATTCAACATCCCACGCCAGTATTGATCCGCCATTGTCGCTCATAACGGATAGCTTGCAAAAAATACATGCTCGGTAACAGTCGTGGGTCTTTGCAATGTGGCGACTACTTTGCACTGTAATATAAACACAAAAAATACTTGCATTTACATAAAGAGAATGGTTCGTCTGCTTGTGTAAATGACTGCGACCTTTAAAATCCAGCCTATTTTAATTAGTTGTGAGTTTTGAAAGGATAAGCCGACTGCATAATATTATGTTTGTAACCTTTCAAATTTAGATTTGAATGTGTATATTCTCTTAACACGTCAGCACAAATTTTATGCGATCAGCGCTATATTTGCTCGAATGTATCCACGCTCCTATACGCCATGCACTTTTGCAACTACGACCTTAATTAACGTGTACGTAATAGGTCATATACCCTATTGTGTGTGTACATACCCTGTTGTCTGCAGTACATGCTGTAAGAAAGTCTAGTGTCTTAATTATGTTTTTGAAACAGATATATTGGTTTCTTTTATTTAATTTTCTCGACTTATAAAATGAAGAGATATGTTTATGCATATGTATGTATGTTACGCGACATATTATTTTCGTCCATTGTGAACTGATTAGGTTGTACTTTAGTGGTGGTCCTAAAGAGTTGGACTTGTGTTTTTGCAGAAAATATTCCATCCCTACAGGTGGTAAACTAAGTATGAAGTTTTTTCTAACTATTCAGACGATATTCTAGTTGACACTTTGAACTTGTGATGATCCTTAATTTACTCAAAATGGTCAAAAAATGAAACTTATAATTAAAAGGAAAACCAAAAAAACTAAAAAGGATATAATAATTTCCAGATATAGCTTTTAAACTTCTACTAAAGTTTAATTTTCATAGTACAAAATACAAATGATGTGTTATGGAATTACGCTCTCCAAGCCAGCTTTGTTTTGTTTAAGAGGGACATTTTGTAACATTCAGAATATAAGGGTCCCTTAGAAATAAATATATTATTAAATTTAGCCTCACAATATATCTGTGTTAATGTAATATATGTACATAAAACACAAGTAGCTAAGATATTCATACTGTAAACAATAGAAACAAACACAAACTTGTACTGACAGTTACTCTATTCAACAGAGTTAGTAATTCATTTTATGGAGTAATGTATACGCACAACACGCAACAATATTCCATGTTTGTCAATCAACAAGTTTAAAATTTTTATTAAAACAAAAAAATATAAAAAGTGTTATATAATGTCAATGAATAAAAAATAAAAGCAAATAAAAAAAGATTTGATCTTTTCTGGAAGGCCGGCATTGCACCGTGCACATTGTGACGTGTTAGTAGATTTCAGGTCGTTTTTTAGCATTTGCAGCCAAGTTATTGGTAGTCGTCCACGGCCTTT